CTCGAAAACAATTCCCCAACATTTCCTCGAGCTAGTAAGTCCTAATGAGCAGCATTCTGAGAACGGGAGAGCACATATCTTGTAGAGCAAGTTGAGGGATTCAGTAAGCGCTACTGTCCTGAAGATTTAGCCAATGAGTGATCTAGTTTTCGCTGAACTGTAGCTTACTTGTTCACCGAAGTGCAGTGAGCTTGAGCAGTGCACGCCAAAGCCAGTCACTGTAAAGCAATTTGTTAATGCCACACCATTTAGCCAAAGCTGGTTGAGAGCCACGCGGCACCGGTGAGAGAAAGCATTGCGTTTCGAAGTTGAAAATTCTAGCCTTCACAGGTTAAACGATTTAGCTCAATCTCCGAGGTCACATTGAATGATAGATTATTCATTGCGTAGGCCACAGCGTACGTGGAAACCATTTGAATGTCGTCGCAAATAGGAAAGGTTTGCCAAATATGTAAATATGGAAGACATCGTTCACGCATAGTAGAAAGAGCAGGGGACCAAGGACGCCGCCTTGAAAGACAACACTAGTAACTGACAGTCGTTTCGATTCAACGTCACCCATCTCACAAACTACGTTCGGTTAGAAAGGTAAGTTGATAACAAAGAGTGTCTGGTTTGAAATGCTAGATGATACAATTTTTGTCATACGTCTAATATGAAGGATAAGGTTGGGTGCCTATTGCATATCCAGAGACAAAATAACTAGTGCTTGTGGTGTTTAGGCTCAGGTGGTTTTATTCTCCAGATCAAGTTGAATAGTGCTCGAAAAAACACTGTTCAAACAAACTGCTGCTAGCAGTAAGAACATCCGAATTCGCTGTACATTTTCGCTTAGAAACAAACAGAATTCGTAAACTCTCTTCAGTATCGGTCTCCAGTAGGGGACTGAAGGATGCGCACCACTGACGAGCCCCAAGAGGGCGAAACGTGCGTCTGGTGCTTTTCGGGATGGGGACTGTGCTATGTAGCTTGAGAGCCGCTGGGACGAATACATTAAAATTGTAACTAAAATCCTCCCACTCATCAGTAAAAGTTGACTTTGTCTGTTGATGTGTTATCCAATAATAATAATAATAATAATAATAATAATAATAATGCGTCAGCTGCACGCCGTAACGGCGCTTCGCTGTTGCGCGGCCACCACCAGTCGCGCGCAGGCTGAGTATACCGCGAGGACGCCCATCCCTACGCGGATTCGAACCGGTGACCTTATGGTTGTAAAGCAAAAGTGCAGACCACTCGGCCACAGGCCGACTGTTATCCAAATGGGTTTTCCGTTTCCAGCTAAAACGGAATCTCAGGCATACGGATTTCTCGTCCTTTGCCCCCGGTCTCGGGTGTATGCGATCATACGTGTAACTGCACAATCTATCATCAATCTGCATCTTTTCGCTAGGCTTTGTGAGTTGTATCGCGACGCGCTATTTTGGACGGCTGCTGATGATCACATTTTCGTACCCGTGAGTTCGTTCCAGTGCTTTGGTGCGTCATTGCTTAGAAACTGTTTCTTGTTATTCTTGTAATACCGTGCCTTTTGGTGTACTCCTGTTGTAGTGTTGTATCGTGTTTGAAAAACCTTGGACGTAGTATTTTCCGTGTATTTCTCCGCCTTGACCAGGCACCTGCTAGTATGGACAGTATAGCCGCAGGGATGTAGTAGAAAAAGGTATACAGATGCCTACTATGGTATCACAATGTTTATTCATGATTGGACGAGGAGTCCGTTGATGTATATTCACTTTAACCTAAAGTGAAGTGGATTTGTTTCCATTTTGTCTGGCGGATACCTGCTCGCTTTTGCTGGGTGAGGAACGTCTGGTTCGGCCACGTCATGTCACAGACGTGCAAAATATCACTGACGAGACCACCTGCATAGGCAGACATAATCCGGAAACAAGGATCTATCATTAATGCATTGTGAGCAAAGTTGAGAAGTTACAGTCACATTCAGAGCAGTATGTGAGTAATACTTAAATTGCTGTGGACAGGCAGAGGAATATGCCTACTTACAACCGGGAATAAGGCAGGCTAAGACGAGCAGACCTGTTCGCGATATACCTCGTATTGTTAGTATATCGCCTCTCTTTGGCACCAAGAGGATCCGTCGAGTTGGAAGTTGGAAAAACGCAAGCGCTTTGCACCAGAAAAGTCTTGCCAGGCCGGTCTTAGTAGAGTTAAAGAACTCGGTGTATATTGAGCATCTTCTTAACCTAGCGGGCCAAATGGCTAGTCAAACAAATGGTGGATATCAGGTGGGTCCAGATACGCTAGTATGAAGAACCAAAATCACACCATTAGTACCGATGAACAAAGCTAACATCGGATCTGTTGTGCCAGTGAGCAGAGACTTAAAACAGAAACATCTTGTAGTGGACCTCGGTACGGAAAATGGGTTAGGTGGGACTCGTGGTGCTCAATCTCACCAGGCGGACGCTTTTACCTGCTATCTCACCACTTCACAGAACATGGCGACAGCACCATTCAACCTTCGGGAGGTTGCTCGAAAAGTAACTCCTTTGCAAAATTCGAATGATGTGAATTGGGAAAATGGCTCCGAATTCTCTGCTGACTGGAAATCAGGTCGTGTGTGGGCTATGGAGGATAACTACTGCCGCCAATTCAGGGACAATAAAAATGAGGTCACCAGTAACTAAGATTAACCCATATACAGAGTTTGGGAAAGCGCTATCCGAGGGCGTCCCCAGGAGTATAAAGTCGTCTCAGTCATCATCACCATCAGCCATTTCAAATGATGCTTCGCGGCCGTAAAACTACAACGACCTAATGAACGAAGAATATAAAGAGAGAAAGGGGATATACCGAAAAACCTTAATGCTCTAAACAAACACTCGGGTCAAGGTGCCTACACCTTGTCAACAACATACCATCACAAACAGCTGGCTATCGTGCAAAAATAAGGCGGCATCGGCGAGACAGCTTCGTTGCCGCTTGCACTGCCCCGCGTCATAATCAGCCATTACCCCGCAGATAACTTAGCACCAAACACACTTCAAACAGGCAATCCGACTGAGATAAGACAGCAGACACGTCAATGGTGTCGACTACGAGCCGTGTCCTGTAAAGTCTGGAGAAACGCACAAGGCGAGTGATTGGACTCCAGACTGAAAGGCGAGACGGACAGGCGGCACCGAGTCTGGTAGTCCGTAGCTTCGTTTCCCGCTGCCAAGTCCACTTTTGCCTGCCTCGGGCCTTTCGTCACCAAGCATCTTGTAAACAAAACAACGACGATCTCGTTAAGCAGTGACGGGCATTTGCAGTAGGTGTCCAAGCCAATACGTATTCTGTGCTATCTGTTGATATAAAGACTACCGTTATCACTGCTTAACACTCATCGTTAAGGACAAGCTGATGTCACATGACAATGACAACGATGATCAGAGACTTGAAGGAACCTCAGATTTTCAGAGCGAAGGGGCCACTTCTCACATCCATTGAGAAGGGCGGCCACATTGTTACCATGTAAACACGGCCTTTTAAACAGAAAAACGCTTTCCTATCGCCAAAGATGTCGCAGATTCATGAAAACAGTTCTGGCTTTTGCAATACGTGAACTGACTTGTTATGTGCTCGTCATTGCTGATGCAGCTACCAAGGTTAGTGAAGTGAGAAACTGCCTCGAGTTTCTCACCATCAAAGATCAAGGGGTCATCAAGTGGCTGGTGGTCCTGCAACAACACTTTGCACAATGTGGCCTGTGAGCTGGCATCTCGATTGGTGGCGGCTTGCAGAGGAAGTTGTTGCTCTGTGGGCCAACCCTATCCTCTACACGTTCATAACATGCATGACAGTGGAGGGTGAGCCGCGATATATCGCAGTTAGATATCAGTCATGGTGGTCCGCAGCCGTCACTCATGGCTAAGTGGCATAAGTCGCTGGCTAGTAAGAGTAAAGTCGCGGGTTCGAATCCGGCAGCATTCGGCGGGTGTGCGCTACTGATGAGACCCAATAGGTCGAAACGGCTGTCTAGCACTTTCCTGGATGTGTTGGCTGTCTGTCTAAATCTAACTGCGACGAATCGTTACAAAAACAAATAAATCCCCATTCATGAGAGGTCTTAATGGTATCAGATCTACTGATCTAGCTGAACCAGCTACGTCGGAATACTTGGTCTAAAATAGAAACAGCAAAGGTCTAGGCCGAGATAAGAGTCAAGTTCTCCTCAAATCGGGTTGTGAATAACTGGAAAAGTTCCTTTCGTATTACTGGAATGTAAGCCGTAGATGACTTCAAGCGACGCCTGGATAAATTTGATTCGCACTGTTTCCCGAATTCCTGTGAGTTCATGTCAGCCTCTAGCCAAATGCAACATCGTAAAAATGTAGGGGCTGTTTTGTTCTTACTACTTCATTATAAACGCAATGAATCTACTATCAAGTCGAAGCGCGTACGTGGACCATGGAAGTATTCTGGATGGCAGTACGCAAGAACCAACACAAAAGGGCTGCGATTAGAGCACTTAGGTTTTACTCCAGGTCCCCCTTCTCTTCAGCTCATTATTCTTCAGTTCTTGTAAAAAGATAATAATGTGTTAGCAGTACGCCGTAACGGCGCTTCGCTGCCGTGCGACCACCACCAGTCGCACGCGGGCTGAGTATACCATGAGGACGCCCACCCCTATGCGGATTCGAACCCGCGCCGCAAGATTACGTGACAAGCTCGTTACCTCTAGGCTACGGGCCGACCTTTAGTTGCCAGGTCGCTGTGGTTGTACAGCGGAGAATCATCAGTTCAAATAACTGATGTGATGCCGTTGATGATCAAAAGAACTGCGTTCATTGTCCATCCGTTTGGTAACCTTCGAAATGCATCCTTAAATTCTTCTCGTTCTGAGACCGTTTGGATATGCCGATGATGTAGTTACAACACACCATAATAAAAAATGGGAAAACACGATGCACATCATGGTTCGCAGAAGCCAACGATGCAAAACCACAAGAGCAAAAATCAAAGGGCAAAGAAATTGGGTAATACGAACGTACCGCATTGTGATGAACAGTTTCGGATACAACTAGATTAATTCTGGGAACTGCGCAGGCTGAAATATTCCAGTTCAAGCGACACCGGAGCGGTAAGAAAAGCGCGCAACTGCTCCTTCTTGAGCGGATCGTCAAGTTAGAGAAAGATAAGTTGTTCTGAGATTTGAATGAACCTAAAATGAAATACTAGAATCACATCATGACCAACAAACAACTGATTGGGCCTCATGCGCTGCCAAACGTTCTATACCGCTGAGGAAGAGCAAGAAACAAAAAAAACAAAGACGAATATCATCCTGAGAAATGTTAACCGAAATGTATGGTAAGACTACAGAAAATGCTCATGAGAACGCGGCAGGTTAAGATTAAGCTCCCTGAGTTCTCCGGTAAGGTATTGAAGACACCCAAATTAAGCAGTCGTTTCGGATCATCCTCATCATCATCATCAATACACGTTAACTGAGGGTGAAAAACACACTTCAGCCAATGTGTCGCAGTACAAAAATGCTAAAAATTACACTAGAGAAAATTTAAAAAGCAAGTAAGATAATGTTAAAAAGCATATTCTTCATTTGCTATGAGATCGAGTAATTCTGTTCTCGCAGCCCATGGAATATCCTGGTATGGATGCTTAAAGCCCTCTCTGGTTCCATTCTGTCCTGGACGAGACGTGGCGGGAAAGCCCAAGTGCAGTATTTTAAATGGGAAAACTGGGAACACTTGTATCAGCCGTTAAGATGCCGTGTAAGGGTCTACGGGAAACTGTCTCCTGAGTTCCCCACAACAAGTGGTGTTCAGCAGAGTTGTCCTATATATTCTTTCCTCTTCAACTTTGTTACTGAAATGATCATGAGTGACACAGTTCGTTCAAACGCTACTGGAGTGGAAGTTCTACCATGTGACCGACTGACAAACCTGGATTATGCGAACATAAGTCTTTTTGGATCCGACGCACTGCTGCATAGACTGACGCGTAGCACTGCAAGCTTTGGAATGCGCTTTGCACCTTCAAAGTGCAAAGTACTGCTGTAGGACTGGACCGACATACCTCCGGTTCTAGTTATCACCGAACAACCACTGGAAGTGGTGGATCGGTTCACTGACCTTGGTAGCGGTGTGTGGCATCCTCACGGCCAATGTACTGAGCCCTTCTTATTGGTTGCCTGCATCTGCTGGCGTGTCAGTAACCCGCTCACCGACTCATCGATTAACCTAATTAAGGATAGTGGATCGATGCGTTGTACAACATGCTGATTAGAATACAGTTTTACCTTCCGTTTGTCTTACGTGTTTTGTTTTGTGATACTACAACTAAGAGCCAGACACTGAATGTTAGTTACGCAATTCCGCAACTGTGACACTTTCACTCCTGGTGATCACACCACTGAGGAAGTTTGCGTATCAGCAAGACTTTCCAGAGACTCAAGCATCTATGGAGACAGCGAGATACCAGCCTGTCAGTGAAACGTAGGGTGTACAAAGCTGCGATAAGGCCGGACCTACTGTATGGCTCAGAGACCTGACCAGTTCGCGGCGAAGACACTAAACGCGTGGCCGGGTTTGACCACCGGTGCTTGCGGAGTATCGCTCACGTCTGGTAGGAACACCGGGTGAGCAATGCTGAGATCCGCCAGCTGCCTTTTGACAAGAAGCCTTCTGGTGGTTCACTGGTGTTTGCTGTATCTCAATCGCTTACGTCGGCCAGGCCATGTCCTGCCTATTCCCGATGACAGGCTATCTCGGCGTGCATTATGCGCCGTGGCTGCACTGTTGGGTAAAACTGTGAGGTGGCCAGTCCAAGACGTGGCATAACGGCATGAAAAAATTGACTGAGAGACTTGGTCAGGCGGGTGCGAGGATGGGGGCCTCGGGATGGTCTCCACTAATGGTTAGAGACCGTATCTGACATGGCACAGTCACGCAGCCAGTGACGTTACTGCATTCGATTTCTTGCATCTGATTGTTAATTTTCGTTCCATTCTGATTATTTTAACGCACTTACTTCCATTTTCTTTACATTCTATTTGCATTTAACCCCACTATCTTGCCGTTGTTATTTACTGTTAGTCTTACGATGTGAGTAGTGGTAACGATCCACCGCACTTCGGTGCTGGGATCATAGTTGATCAACTGAAGTATAGCTTCAAAAGCGAAATATGCCTACAGCAGCATGATGAGTAAGGATTAGGTATCCGTCGCCCGCATACTTACCAGTTGGAACATTACGGCGCTATCAAATAAAATCGAAAAGAGAAGAAATATCTTCAAGGACCATTTCATGATTACAAGTTAGTTAAGATATTTTAAAAAGCAAGATATTAAACATTACAAAACACAAAACCAAAAACAAGTAACATGATAGCATCATACTATCCATTGAGTGAGATTGTGGTTGGAAGAGGAAGCTAAGCGAGAGGAGAAACAAAGAGACTCCCAACACAAACGCTAATGATGCCGGCTCTTCGACGGGTCATGAAAATTCGTTTGGAGATGACTAAGTCACAGGACTAAAACACTCGAAACCGAGATGTCAGCCAAACTGCTTAAGCAACACGGTTTTATAGTGCATCATAAATCAAAGGCAAAGAAATCCTACACAAAAGCACCGCGCATGATTGCGGGTTGCATCTAGAAAAAAACATATCGGGAGTATAACCCCACCTGTTTTACTCAGTGCTAATGTTCAATCGCTACTGAGAAAATTACAGGACCTCAAAAGTACTATAAAAGGTCGGGAGTATTCTCGTTTGGACATCATTATGCTGCAGGAAACCAGGTTTCACATTGATGTTGACGATGGAGTTGTGGAACGCGACGGATTTAACGCTTTACGTGTTGATCGCCAATGTACACAGAGGAACCGCGGTGGCATCATCACTTACATAAACTCTTCATGGTGTCCGTCGATTAAAATTATTTTTCAGTACAGTTCGCAACGCATCAGCTGTTTGATCGTAAAGTGTGAACTAAGGCTGCCGAACGGTTAATGTTCGATTTTATTGGCGAACTTTTGTATCTCTCCCGGTTATCCAGACAACGAAGTTGGAGAATTTTACGACGGATTTACAGCTGTGCTCCTAGAATACCTGAAACACTCATTGTGCATAATTGCCGGTGACATGAACAGATCTGACACAAGCTTTATTGCGCGCCTCGGGACAAAGAACATTGTGTAATCTCCAACCAGGTTAGATGTAATACTTGACATGGTTTTTGTTAACCCGGAAGTTTTTGCTGTTTGTAATCGGGTACCGCTTGGGAGCTCTGTTCATGCCACCGTAAAGCTATCTCCTGTTGTATATAGCAAAACGAACCATAAAGATATCACACGTTGCAAAGATTGAAAGTTCAGACGGTGACAATGACTTCCCCAGAACATTCAGCGATTGAGTGAAACAAATGACTCCACTGATTTTAGTTTATTTCACGGTGCTGACGTGTCGAAGTACTGTGACCAGTTAACTAGTTACTTGAACTTCTGCTTCGACACCAGTTGTCCGATTGAAACAACCTTTCCGTGCCGACAGATTCTCTCCACAACATTTCACGTGCGCCTCGTTCCTTCTGAAATCGTTTCTTTGGAATTACTGGATGTGTTGCGGTAGTTCCTGAAGAACCCTTCAGCGTTTATACTAATTGTGTTCTCGGATCGTCGTGAGCCTCGAACGTGCAGGAGTTATCGGAACAAGCCCGCGTTCAAACGACTGCATGAATAGCACAGCTACGAAGGATTCATCAACTCATGAGGCGAGGCCTGAAGATGGTAAACATCCTGACGGTATATTGAACTCAGCTGTGAGTGGTGAAGTTTTACATGCTAGTGTACCTGCAAAGGTAAAGCGGCGTGAGATAAAGAAATCGGTCAGTACAATCAAATTCAAGCTAAAAGATGTAGCGGTGGGCTCTGTCGATACTCCGTCCCCGGTAACGGAGACAAAAAATTCTTCCACCTCACTGGCGGAATCCTTATCAGGTGCACCTGCTGTTCCTACTAAGGAAGACGTGAAATCGGGTGCTGGGCCGACCACTGCTACAGGGACGCATCGTAGTGATGCAGTTAAGGACAGCAGCGTTATCTGTAGGAATAACGCGGAGTCCTCTGCAGCTCTTCCGAAAGATATCATTGTTGACGATCTTCACTGGTTCGAACTTTGCGTTTCTAAACTATTTTCACAAGGGTTTCCTGTGAATATCATTAGAAAACATACTAGGCTTGGGAAAATATCGGGTGACAGTGCTAAAAATAGGCCTCGTCTACTGCGCGTGGTCGTGTCTACACCGGAGGAGCGCCAAGCATTTGGCATTTCACCTTTAAACTTAAGTGTTTCGGAGTGAGTATACAGCCGGAACTACCTTAAGCAGATAGAATAAAGCTTGATAAAGCCATCAAAAACTTGTAAGTGCGTCGAGAAGCTGGCGAGTAAGTTTAGTTTTGTGGATTTTCGGGTGGTGAGCCGGCGGTCCACTTCCGCTCTACCAGCTCATTCTGGTAGCACGCGACCTGAAGCTCCCCATACCAGACGTCTTCATATATATATATATATATATATATATATCTATATATATATATATATATATATATATATATATATATATATATATATATATGTCGCATCTCGTGGTCCCCAACCTGGAAGACGGACTAGTCCGATTAACGCCAAACTTGAGGTTGCCTTCTTCATGATCCTTCGCCACGTCATTGGCTGTCCACCGCGGCACTTTTTCCAATCGCTCCCTGGGAGTGCAAATAGCGCTCGACGTGGAAGGCGATGGGCTGGCATGCGCAGAACGTGCCCGAGCCAACGCATGCGATGTCGGAGAATAACATCCTGAAGACTGGCACTATTCGCCCCAAGCACGCGGTCTCGCACCTCTGCGTTGCTTACGTGGTGTTGCCACCACACCCGAGCAATCCTTCGTAGACAGCGATTGTCGAAGACTGACAGCCGCTTCATATCTTCCGAGCGAATAGGCCAAGTCTCACAGCCGTACAAGAGTACTGCACGGACGGAAGCATTGTACACCCTGCCTTGAGTTTGAGTCTTACATCATGACGACGCCATAGGTGTCTCAGTTTGATGAATGCAAGGCGGGCCTTTGCAATCCGTTGTGAGACTTCATCTACAACACCGCCACCAGACGTGATGCAACTCCCTAGATAAGTAAAGCAAGGG